AACCTGGGGCCCAAGAGACCATGCACTGAACCTCCCGAAATCATGAGCCAAAATAAATCCTTGTTCCCCTCAAGTCATTTCTGTCAACTATTTTGGCCATACCAATGAAGAAAGTTACCTAACAGGGCCCCACTTACCCCAATGAGAACAGGCCTATTGGACCTGTCTTACTACCCTTTCCAAGGGATCATGTGTCATCAGTAGGTACACCTGAAAACCACAATGAATTTCTTTGGTTGGATTTGTCTAATAGGAATAAATTATAGAAAAATAACTTACAGGACAGAGCATTCATCTCAAACTGCCGGCAGGGAACCTCCACGAATGCAGACCACCGCATGGCCTGCGCGGGATTGAGAAAGAGTTCCCTAGGCAGATGTGTGGTGGCCTCACAGGAAAAATCATTTAGAGGCACTGACTAAGGGTTACCACCTAGGCAAACAGCTAGATCATCTTGGTAAGAGCCAGGTCTATTGGCATATCACTAGGAATATGACAGAGAATTATAAAGTTAAAAAGATAATGCCTTTTTAGGCCAAGAAAGATTTCAATGGATATATGTACATGCATCAATCCTTCAAAACATAGTCATTCTATTACAGTTACCCATTACAGACTAAAGCAATGAATGAAATACAAGAATGGACCGTGTCTTTTTCAATAAAAGAACAAAAATGTGTACCATCAGATGGTTTGGCAATAACTTAACCTGTATATTAAAAAACTAAATTTACTAAGTGTCAAGTGTATAGATCAGAGGTTTCAAAACCTGAAAATACTGTGGGTACAGACATCTACTGAAAGCTTTAAAAAAAGTAAAACTGTTGGACTAGTGGTTAGACAAAGGCCAACTCTGCCAGGTACAGCAATGCATACCTGTAACCCCAGCACTCTAGAGTTTGAGTCAGCAGGATTACAGGTCCAAGGCAAGCTTGGGCTACGTAGTTCAAGGTTAGCTCAGAATACATAGGAAATCCTGTCTTAAAACAACAACAAAGCCAGAATAACAACAACAAAAAACAAAGACAAACCTAAGTTACTGATATGTTAAAATGACATTTATTTATAGTTCTATAGAATTGGCTTAATGGTAATTAATAGGTTAGTATCTTTTCTGTGTATTTTTTCTATCTCTTTCCTCCCAAATACCAATTTCATACCTATAAGCTGTGTCTATCTAAAAGGATGCATCAATGCTAATCTACATGAGTTTTAGCAGATACTATTCACTTTTAACGTATGCAGTTAAGGAAGTACTATTTGAAGATCTCAAAGAGATTCTCCCAGTAACATATGGAATATCTACTGATTTTTTTTACTGTAATTAGAAAATGATATTTATAGCTATATTCTTTTAAACATTTTGTCCATATAAAACAAGCCTAGGAGCCTTTAGAAAAGGTTGAGTTTATTTCTGAGTTACTTTCTGTAGGTTCAACAACACTTGGGAAATATAAATGCAACAAAGTAAAAATGTGAAAAAAGTACTTTATAGAGAACACTATGGTATGTGACTAGAATAATTCTGGCTTACATTTAACTCATAATTCTAAAAACATAGAGTGTAAAAATAAATAAGAGATTCTAGGAAATAGAATTAGTGAGCAATGCTTTGAATTTGTTGTCACAGTTGTTTACTGTAGGAGAAATATAGTGCTGTCAAAGCGTGTCACATTAATGAACACATTTTATATGTAGAGTTCAGTTTAGTATTCTCTTACAAACTTGTACTCATTAAAAAATACATCAGTGAATTCATTTGACAAAAAATAAAATCAACATTGGCTTCAAAGCAGGTACTTCTGGAAGACTTAACTGTAGAAAAACATAAAGGACAGAGATAATGCATGGGACTTCACTGTTTGTGTAAATATAGACGATTCATTTGCTACTATGCAGAGAAATCAGGAAAAGGTGGGGCTCAGTTGTAGCACAAGGCTTAGAAGATTATCTTCAATGTCTTACTGCTGACCTAAATGAGCACCTACTGTCCAACAGGAACTACACAAGACAAGGGTGTGTAAATCTCATTGTCAGAAGGCCTGGGGGGGAGGGGTGTGTGTGTGTGTGTGTGACTCAAAACTGCTAAATTGCAAAGATATACGAAGTAGTGATGTGTAGTAAACTCATTTTGCCACTAGATGGAGATCAGGTCATTTCCACCAGTGACAAGCAACCCTGCTTATAGTCAGCAAATTTAAGTAGGGTACCAATTACTTTTTTCTCACTACTTCTATGAGGGTCATTTTCCAAGCTCCAAAGTTAGAAGCAGATCTGTGCTGAGTAAGGTGTCCAAAATGAGGTACTTTGAATGATCAAAAAGGAAAGGAACTGTACAAGAGAAACAGATCTGGCTGAACCATCTTGCAAATAGTAAGAGTAGGCCTACATAAGAGGGTTTAAGTACATTGTTTCAGTAGTTACCAAGAGGCTTCACAAAAACTTAAAACAATGGCAGACTGGACAATTCATCCCTATCATTTAACATAAAGATCTATGTTCACCATTCGTTTCTTGTCTGAGTATGTATATAAGTATGTATATTTGGAATCAACCAAAATGGAACTGTATATATAAAAGAAGAACACTAACAAATGGCTATCCTAGTTTTCCAAGTGAATCTGTCATTTAATTCTGATCTGAATAACTTTATTACTAATTGTGTCTAATTTCTGAAAAAATTTGAACTTTGAGCTAGGATGATAAAACTAGTTATTTCCTAGAAAATACTGCATTTAGGAAAAGTTCAGATAATATACTGTACAATGTAGCCAAATATTTTAGTCATTCTTGAGATGTTAGATACTATAATGTTATTCAATTCTAACTTAGCTATATATCGCTATGCTATTTATTCATTGAATAAGTACTGATTTGTATACATGTAAGCATAAAATAATTTGTGACAGTTGAAAGAATTCCAGTTGTGATCAAATAGCTTCAATTACCTATAGCACACTTATTAGATCTAAGTGTGAGTAGCAACAAAGATCAATGTTGTGTACTAGGACACTATCCTAGGAGCTGGGAAAATGAAGAAGTGTTTAGAAGAGAACAACTCTGGTGACAACATAAGAAGAGGTTAAGTTTGGAGACAATTAAGAACCATTATTTAACTCATGAGTAAAGGTTATTTATAAAGTCCTTTTGAGGAAAAAAAAGGACAGCTTTAAGTCACAAAGCTTGACCACTGGAAAATGTGACCTTTGATTTTTTTTTACAACATATGAGCAAGTCAAATAAAGTAGATGAAATTCAAATACAACAGTATTTACAATTAGGCCTCAATGACTAGAGGACAGAAACAATTCAAAGAGGGAAGAAATTAGTGTTTAGAATAACACGAGAGGAAATCCTATGTAATTAATTCTCAAATATTGTTTTGTATGGTGGATAGGTATGGAGAAGGATTCCTGTGCTATGTCAATACTTCATTGTACCACATTCTATGTTTATTTTAGAGCAATATGTTTGCTTTAATTAAAGTGATATCTTGTTGTGCCTTCAAAAGGACATGCAATTGCTAGCTGACTTGGATTGAGATTTCCAAAACAGACTTTTAAGTCTTCAAGTATCTAACAGAAAGGTGTATTTCATCTACCCACATAGGTATTTCTGTTTTGACTGCAAAATAATCATATAAAATAGTAATTATTAGCTGATTACTGATGTAATAATTGGTGGAAGTATCTTACTGACTGGCTCTTTGGCAGAGCAACCATTCTGGCAGGAAGGTACCTTTTCTTTTGGTAGATAAGAATGATATGTAGGGGGCTGGGAAGGTGGCTCAGTGGTAGAGCGCTTGCCTTGTATGCTAGAGGCCCTGGGTTCGATTCCTCAGCACCACATAAGCAAAAAGAAAAAAGCCTGAAGTGGCACTGTGGCTCAAATGGTAGAGCGTTAGCCTTGAGCTGAAGAGCTGAGGGATAGCGCCCAGGCCCAGAGTTCAGGCCCACTACCGGACCCCCCCCCAAAAAAAGAATGATATGTAAACAAGGGAAGCTTTATTTTGAAATCAAAATTTTAAAAATTACCAACCAATCCTTTTATTCTGTGCTTCCTATAGACTATGATGCCTTACTCATTCTTCCACACAACAGCCGGGAGGAGCTGGCTGAGTGATGCCTGGGATGGTTGGGTTTCCTTTGGCTTTGGTGGCCTTTCCCATATTTTCTTCATGGCAAGTTGTGTCAACTCATAATTAACTGCTAACCTTGAATTATCTGGATCACAGGCAATTGATAAACGCTCTACTGGATGCATACTTTGCTAACTTTCTCTTGTCTAGAGGTTGCTTTTCAAATTATCTTTAAGTACTTGTACAAAGGGGTTTCAATTGAACATGTCAGTTTATGAGTACAATGTATCTTGATAATCTAGAGGTTTCTATGAGTCTGCTATGTGCCAGATTCTTAGTGTTTCTGTTGCCTAGGTAGCTAGGAGATGTGTTGTTGGTTGCAGTGAAAGCAAGAACAGATACAAAGATGGTGCTAGAAACTGGCCAATGTGTCAGGTAAAAAATGTAAGTTGAGCCGGGTACAGGTGGCTTATGCCTGTAATCCTAGCTACTCAGAACGCTGTGAGATCTGAGGATTAGTGTTCAAGGCCAGCCCGGGCAGGAAAGGCTGTGGAACTCTTATCTCCAATAAATCACCAGAAAACTGAAGCAGCGCTGTAGTTCAAGTGGTAGAGCACCAGCCTTGAGCTGTGGTAGAGCACTAGCCTTGAGCTGAAGAGCTGCAGGACAGCACTCAGGCCCAGAGTTCAAGCCCCATGACTGACAAATAAAAAAACCAAGTTGGTGATTGTATTTGTGTGTTGTCAGGTCAGGAACTTGCATGTTTTAACAAAGGCATATTTCTACTTTCTCACATCTATACTATTAGACTTTTTTTTTAAAATTATGAATCTAAAGATTATTTTAGCTATTTAAGCAACTATATTTGAATGCTTGAGCTAATTTTCCCAATTGTGTGTTTTGAATTAAATTCAAGTGCTACCTGCATATGTTGGTCACCATCCTGCCCCATCATGTTCCTCCACTCCAGGAGTGACTGCTGCAGACGTTCCAGTCCAGTTTCCCAGAGCCTGACACACCCGCCCATGTCAACAGTAACGATGCCACTTTTGTTCCACTCAGCCAGCAGTGCATCGGTGTCCGAAATAGCAGATAGCCACGTGGTATATGGTGAGAGAGAGCTGGGGCTGAAAAGGGAATCCAAAGTGCAGCTAAGAAACCATAAACACAAAGCACATGATACATTTGCTATGTCTTTTTCTGTTAAAATGTGTGTTCACAACTGGGTGTTGGTACCTCACGCCTGGAATCCCAGCTACTCAGGATCATGGTTCAAAGCCAGCCTGGGCAGGAAAGACCATGAAACTCTCATCTCCAGTTAATTACCAAAAAGCCTAGAGTTGTGGCTCAACTGGTAGAGTTCAAATTAGCCTTGGACAAAAAAGGTCAGGTACAGTGCTCAGGCCCAGAGTTCAAGCCCCAGGAAACACAAAAAACTGAGTTCGCAACATTATTAGTTTCTTTATATTTGCTCTTATCTATATCACAGCTTGGGGAAGTAATGAGGATAAGTGAAATTAAAAAAACAACAACACTGAATTTGTAAACTTAAGACAAGATAATAATGAATTTGAAGAAAGGGATTTTTGCTGGGTGTGGGCTCAAGCTTATAATCCTAGCTAGTTAGAAAATAATAGATTGTTCAAGTTCAGCCTAGGTTAAAAAGTTAGTGAGATCTTCCTTTCAACAACAACAAAAAAAGCTGGGCCTGCTTGTTCATAGCTATAAGGCCAAAGACCTGAGATCCTATCTCCAAAGTAACAAAAACAAAAAGGGTGTGGCACAGTGTTAAGAGTTCCAGCCTAGCAAACTGAGGGTTTTGAGTTCCAATTCCAATGCTGCTAGAAAATAAAATAAAAAATTGAAATAAATAAATAAATAAATTGAAAATCCACATAATGAAGCTGAAGTGATTTAGAGTCACTAAATTTGCCATAAAGAATTTATTACTGACTAAATGCTTGTGTCCCACCAAATTTACATGGTGAAACCCTAGCCTTCCGTTTAACGTTAAAAGGACATAAGGTCTTAAGGTCTTAGGTGGTGATTAGATTCAGACAAGATAGTATTGGCAGAATCCTCACAATGGGACTGTTCAGATAAGAAGTGTCTACAGGCTGTGTGTTCCACAATAAGAAGTCAGCCATCTGCAAGAGTCCTCACTGGGAGTTGAACTGGCTGCTACCTCCATCTTCGCTTTCTCGGCTTCTAGATCATGACAAAGAGCAGTTACATAAGCCATGGAGCTGCTGGTCTTTTGTCATAGCAGCCTTGAACTAAAAAGAGATAAGATACCAACAGATCCACTTGTAACAAAAAAAATAGTATCATTTTCCTTGTGGACCCCAGATGATACTAGCAATTTACTGTTAGAAGACAGGAGGACCAGGCAACTTATCTCTTCCCCCAGCTGCCCTGGTAGACTCACTCCTGACACATCTATGGGGATGTTTTATGTTTTAAATATGCTTTCCAATAGATTCAGATTTCATTTTTGCCTTTGCTAACCTAGAAAGTGATGTGAACCTATAATAAGGAATTCATAGAGTTCATGAATTATGTATTATTATTTGCAGTAGCAGGGTTTGAACTTGGGGCCTTACACACTTGCTAGGCAGGCACTCTATCTACCACTGGAATCATGCCCTGCCTTTATTTCATGTATTATATATTTCACATTTGTTTCTTATATTCTATTTTGGATATACATATCCATGGCTATAAGAAGTATAAAAATCATATTTTAAGGCTTTTATTATGTTTCCACTGGACAGTGCCTCTTTACATGAATGAATTATGGTGCCCAGTTGGTATTGGCTGTACACACAGCTGCTCTTTCAAGATTTCTTCATGGCAAGCAGAATGTGTGGCCTATTTTTAAAAAATTAAAAAAAAAACACTGACACAGTGAAGGAGAAACTAACAGAACATTAGAAAAATTATTAATGCTTTAGAGATGTTAAAACTAGATATTCTTTGCTTTTATTATGAAATAATCATCTGTTTTAATGAGATACAACTAAGAAAGAATAAGATTTTCCTTTAGAGACTAAAAGTCATTTTCTATTAAGCCAGCACATTAAGGTGTTCCAAGACATTATACTAATATATATTGGAAAAAAGAAATCTCTTTCTTAGAATAATGATTTCATCTTTCATACTTTTAGAATCTGATTAACAGTCCCAGGAAATGAAACTGTGCTGCTGAGTTATTTGTACTGTTATGTTGAGCTATTTTCTTCTGGGTTTGGAGAAGGGAGTTTGGTGTCACTTTAGATGACTGACAGGCTCCTGGGCAGAAGGAGTATGTCAGGTAGGGATTTACCCACTGGGCTGTGGATGACCAGACACAGGTGAGAAAGTACATGAGAGATGGGGATGTGATTTTAACCCTGACATTTGTGGAGAACAATTGGAGAAAGGAGGCTCTAGTCTGCAGGGAACAGTAGGGAAAAGGGAAGGAAAAGACAAAGAAGCACCATGTCAAGCAGATCAAAGAAGGTGTAAGCTTAGCTTGAGAGAGGAGACAAGCCATGGATGCACCCAAGGCAGGTCACATACTATCCTACAGTTAAGGACACATGCATTCTTCAAGGATCTTCAAGGACAGGTGAGCATTATTGTTTCTACTTTTTTTTAATTTAATTTAATTTAATTTGTGAACATACTGTACAGAGGGGTTACAATTACATGGGCAGGATAATGCGTACATTTCTTACCAAGCATTGCAGCCTCCTCCTTTGTTTACCCTTCACATCCCTTCCCAGCCTCCCCCCTCCCCCCCAATCCCAATCCTTCTCCTTTCCCCCTCCCCCCCGCCCTCCCCCACCCCGTGTTTCTACTTTTGTATGACAAGCCTCAGTAGTTTAAAGGCTTCGCTGCATGGTTGGACAATGACAGAAGCAGTGAATGGTAATGAATCCCATTCTAAGTCTCTGGGAATCCTTTAGCTACTGCATGACTTCATGAAGGAAACAGTAACATATTTAGAAACAACATTAAACAAGTGCTATTTAAAATCCTTTGACATTTTTGAATGCAGAAAACTAATACATAAAGTTAAAAGAGATCACTATTTTTTTTTGTCGGATGTGGGGCTTGAACTCTGGGCCTGGGCGCTGTTCCTCAGCTCTTCAGCTCAAGGCAAGTGCTCTACCACTTCAGCCACAGTGCCACTTCCAACTTTTTTTGTTTATGTGGTGGTGAGGAATCAAATCCAGGGCCTCATGCATGTGAGACAAGCACTCTGCCACTGAGCCACCTTCCTAGCCCCAGAGATCACTATTTAAGGAAGCAAAAACCATGCTTCCATTCAGCATCCTTGGTAAGAACTTGGTTCATTTTTTAAAATGATATATCAAGCTAAGATCAAAGGTAAAATTAATTACCTGGGAATGGGGATATATCTGAGTTTCTTTGATTGAAGATCAGTAACTTCTATATAACCAGCTGTCTCTGGGGGGGTGACACCTGCAACAAGTCAGGACATGAGTCAAGTATTAAATGACTACTTGATACCAAAGCAGGACTCAAGAATGTTTGCATGCTGCTAAAGCTGAAGGAAGTTAGAGTAGAATTCTGGGACCTATTTGACAAGATACTAGGTCAAGTCTTGGCTAGACTTTGAAAATTATGACTCCTTCCAGGAAATACAAGGATGGTAAAAAGAAGAAAGCCTATTAGGCTGTAATTCTTAATTTATTTTTATTTATTTTTATTTTTTTCATTGTAAAGATACTGTACAGAGGGGTTACAGTTACATGAGTAAGGCAATGAGTACATTTCCTCTTGAGCATTGTTGCCCCCTCCTTTGTTTTTCCCCAGCCATCCATCCTTTCCCTTCCCACCTCCTTAACTCCTCCTTCTGCCCCTTCCCCTCCCCCCCCCCAAGTTGTAGAGTTTGTTTTTTTTTTTTAGCATAGTGTCTTGTACATCTCATTGTTACAGTGGGTCAGCCTGTATCCTTGTCTTAGCATTTTGTTATTTCCCCTCCCCAAATTATATATATATATATACAAGATGCAGGGCACATTGCAACAATGAGATGTACAAGAAGCTATGTCAAAAAATGAACTTTATGATTTAGGTGGAGGGAGAGGGGGAGAGTATAGTTGAGGAGGTGGGAGGGAAAGGATGGTTGGGGAAAAACAAAGGAGGAGACAACAATGCTTGATAAGAAATGTACTCATTACCTTGCTCATGTAACTGTTACCCCTCTGTACAGTATTTTCACAATAAAAAACTTACTAAAAAAAAAGATTCAGGGCACTGGAATCAAATACAGTGAAAACGAGTTATACAAATAGGGAAGAACATATGAAAGAAACAAAAGAAATCACATAGTACATTAAAAACAACAGCAACAAAGTTAAATCCTCTTGTGTCTCTGTCTTGGGGTTTATTTTGCTTATCTTTTATGGTCATATGTGCACATCTTTGACCTTTTCTATTTGTCTGGTAAGGTTATCCTAGACGTTTACTAGTTATTGCAAATAAGGGAAACCATGGGACCTGTTTCTTTGGGCCTGGCTTACTTCACTTGATATAATTTTTTCCAAGTCTTTCTATTTCCTTTTTTTTTTTTTTTTTTTGGGTCCGGTCATGGGGCCTGAACTCTGGGCCTGGGTGCTGTCCCTCAGCTCTTCAGCTCAAGTAGTGCTCTACCACTTGAGCTACAGCACCGCTTCCAGCTTTTTTCTTTTTGCTTATGTGGTGCTGAGGAATCAAACCCAGGGCCTCATGCATGCAATGCAAGAGCTCTACCTCTGAGCCACCTTCCAAGCCCCAGTCTTTCTATTTCCTAACAAATGGGGCAATGTCATTCTTTCTGATGGAGGCATAGAATTCCATTGTGTATATACACCATATTTTCTTGATCCATTCATCCACTGAGCTGGTAGCTTTAGTATGGCTTTGTTTGTGATCGTTTGGGGAAATGCCCAAAAGGTCTGCTGGGTCATAGGGGAGCTCTATGTGGAGTCTTTTGAGGAACCTCCATACTACTTTTCAAAGTGGCTGAACAAGTTTATACTCTACCAACAATGTAGTAGGGTTCCCTTTTGGCCACATCCTCTCCAGCATCTGTTATTATTAGATTTCTTGATTATAACCATTCTAACTTTGGTGAGGTGGAATCTCAATGTTGTCTTGATTTGCATTTCTTTTATGGCTAGAGAGGATGAGCATTTCTTCCTGTGTCTATTGGCCATTCTTATTTCCTCTTCAGAGAAGTCTCTCTTTAAATCTTTAGCCCATTTATTAATCTGGCGGTTGTTTGAGGATTTGTTGTTGGGGGAGTTAATTTTTTGAGTTCTAAGTATATTTTAGATATGAGACCCTTCTCTGTTGTATGGCTAGGGAAGATCTTATCTCAATCCGTGGGCTTTCTATTGATCTTGCTAGCTATGTCCTTTGCCATGCAGGAGCTCTGCCATTTCATGCAGTCCCATTTGCCTAACCTTTTTTTGATTTGTTCTGTGTCTGTGTCTCTATTAAGAAAGTTTCGGCCTGTGCCAAGGAGCCCTAGAGTTTCTCCTATTCCTTCCTGTAATGTTTTCAGGGTGTCTGCTTTGACTTTGAGGTCTTTGATCCATTTGGAGTTGATTCTGGTTCAGGGTGATATATATGGATGTAGCTTTAGTTTTCTACAGGTGTTTAATCAATTTTGCCAGCACCATTCACTGAAAAGGCTGTCTTTCTTCCATTCTATTTTTTTTTTTAGCTTCCTTGTCAAAGATTAGGTGGCTATAGGTCCGTGGGTTCATTTCTGGGTCTTCAGTCCTATTCCATTGGTCCTCAGGTCTGTTTTTATGCCAGTACCAAGCTGTTTTAATTACTATGGCTTTGTAGTAGAGTTTGAAGTTTGATATTGATATTCCTCCAGCACTGTTCTTTCTGCTAAGGATTGTTTTTGAAATTTGGGGTCTTTTATTGTTCCATATGTATTTTTGGATGGCTTCTTCTATTTCATTGAAGAATGAGGTTGGGATATTGATAGGTATCACATTGAATTTGTAGATAGCCTTGGGAAGTATTGCCATTTTCACAATGTTAATCCTCCCAATCCAGGAGCATGGGAGGTTTTTCCACTTCCTTAGTTCTGCTTTAATTTCCTTTTTCAAGTTTTTAAAGTTTTCATCATAGAGGTCATTCACTTCTTTTGTTAACTCCTAGGTATTTTATTTTTTGTAGGACTGTTACAAGAGGAGTTGCTTTCCTGATTTCAGCCATGCTCTTCTCGTTATTGACATATAGGAAAGCCATTGATTTCTGAGGGTTAATTTTATACCCTGCTACTTTGCCAAAGTTTCAAATAAGCTTGAGTAACTTGGGAGTGGAGTTCATGTGGTTATTTAAATAGAAGATCATGTCATCTGCAAAGAGGGAGAGATATACTTCATCTTTCCCTATTTGGATGCCCTTTATGTTTGCATCTTATTACTTTAGCTAGGCATTCTAATACAAAATTGAAGAGGAGTGGAGAGGGCGGACATCCTTGTCTCATTAATGAATTTAGAGAAAATGGCTTTAGCTTTTTGCCATTAGGTATAATGCTGGCTGTAGGTTTGTCATACACAGCCTTTATTATATTGAGGAATGATCCATGGATTCCTAGATTTTCCAGAGCTTTCATCATAAAGGGGTGTTAGATCTTGTTAAATTCTGTATCTATTGAGATAATCATGTGGTTCTTATCCTTGTAGGCTATAATTCTTTAATATCTGAAAATAAGCTGTTGTTTTTCCCCACTATCTTTGTTTCCCCAAAGGGGTCAATGATTCGGCAGTTAGAGTTTATTTGAAAATATGTTATCATTTTAATTTTGTCTTTGATCTTAGGATGTCACCATGTGCTTCATTGGGATTGCACAATGTGGCAGAATTAGCACTCAGTTCATAATCATATTAACCTGATGTAGAGTCCTGGCTCTCATGTTTCTTAGGAGTGATACACTGGTTGTTTCCTGTTTGAGAGATGAGGAAGCAGAGGCTTTCCAGAGGTCAGATAATAATGGGACTTGCTTGAGGAGACTTAGCTGGACAGAGATGGAGGTGATTTTGTCTCACACAAGCCCTAGCTGAGCTAGCTTTAGGTTAGTATCTATTTATAAAATAGCCCCATTTAACATAACCTTGGCAACTAAGGCATCTGAATAAAAAAAAAAAACAAGATTCATCCACATCAAATCTGTCTTTAAAGATTTTTGCTTATTTTCTGTTTTTCTATCTTTCTGTTTACCTATTTAATTTTTATTTAATTTTACATTGGAATGAGGTACTCAGGATGTCTACACTGAATTCATTCAATCAAAATGACATTTTTATTTCATGTTTGAAGTTGAAAGTACTTTTTAACAGGCATTCTGTAAAAAACCAACGTATCTCTTAATTGTTCAACAGACATGTTTGAGTTTAGTTTGCACCATATATCCTAAGAACCACTTGGGAAGAGACAGAGATGTTGCCTTACAGTACTCACAGAATAAGAAGGAAGGTTTCCTTTTATTCTTTTTTAAAATAGTTTATGTGAGTCATTATTTCATTTGTGTAATATGTAAGCACTGACTATATTTCCTCATTACCCACTTTTATCCCCACTCCTACTGTTCCCCTTCCTATTTAACAGTCCTCCTACTTTCATGTCTTTCTCTGTGTGTGTGTGTGTGTGTGTGTGTGCGCACATGCACGTGCATGCACTAGTCCTGGAATTTGAACTCAGGACCTGGGCATTGTCCCTGAGATTCTTTTTTTCAAGGCTGGTGTTCTATTACTTGACCCACAGATCAGCTAGCCACTTATGGTTTTTTTCTGAGTAGTTTAGTAGAAATAAGAATCTCATGGACTTTTCTGGCCAGGCTGGTTACCAAGTGTGATCCTCAGATCTCAGCCTCCTAAGTTGCTAGGATTGCAGCACCTGGCTTACTTTCATATCTTCTTAGTTAATTATTAGAGTCTACATATAAGAGAAAATATATGATACTAATCTGAGTCTAGCTTATATTGCTTAAAATGATAATCTCCAGTTCCATCAATTTTCTTACAAACAACTTGATTTTGTCCTTCATTATGGCCAAATAAAACTAGTACCTGAAAGTTTTTTTTTCCATTTCTTTTTTTTTTTTGATTTTTTTTTATTTTATTTGTGAAAATACTGTACAGAGGGGTTACAATTGCATGGGCAGGATAATGCGTACATTTCTTACCAAGCATTGCAGCCTCCTCCTTTGTTTACCCTTCACATCACTTCCCAGCCTCCCCCCCCCCCCCCATCCCAATTCTTCTCCTTCCCCCCTCCCCCCCCTCCCCCTGAAAGTTTTTTTTTTTTAAATCAACTCTTTCACTGATGGACATTTAGGCTGAATCTATAGCTTGACTACTGTGAACAGTGCTGCTGCAATAAACTTGGGTATGAAAGTATTTTTACTGCCTGTTACCTTTGATTCCTTTGATTACAGACCCAGGAGTAGTATAGAAGAATCATTAGTTTTTTTTTTTCCTTTTTAAAAAAATATTCCTTCCAACAGCATACTACAAAAGAGCACCTTTCTCTCATATCATTGCTGGCAATTGTTGTTGTTGTTGTTATTATTATTATTATTGATGATGACCATCCTTACCGAGGTAAGATGGAGTTTCATTGTGGTTTTGATTTACATTTCCTTGATAGCTAAGGATGTTGTACATTTTTGTATGTTCTCTCTCTCTTTCTACACACACACACACACACACACACACACACACTTGTATTTATTTGTTTGAAATGTCTTCTCTTTCTCTATAAGCCACTATGGGCCTTTGAAGAGTTGGAAAGAATCCCATGGTGGAAAATCTGGATCTTGAGTCAGGTCTGAGTGGAAGGGAAAGTCAAGGGAAGGTTCTAGGTGGCCAAGGAAGAAGAGAAGGAGATATGCAGAAAAAGGATGGGTAAGTAAGAAGAGTTACTGTGTAATCTGACCACGCTGCTAGACTGGCTATGCACATAGCTACAAATAAGTGAGGGTATGTATTTTAACATACATACATAATCTGCATTGTACTGTACAGGATATAAGGCAATCTTGGATAAAGGGTTACAACACGTATCTTATTTTACAATTCTTGCTACTAAAGCCTAGGTGAAGTAAGTTCAATTATTTATAGACCAGGATTCTTTTCCCAAAATGATCAGTTATTGAAACTGATGGGATGACTAGACATGCCTCACTAACCAAGTTAAACATTTTGGCTAATTATTACTTGCAGACACTTAAAAAAATCAGAATGCTTTTTAGTATTCCCATGATAGCAACATAAATCGACTAATTTTTAAGAACTTTTTTTTCTCTATTTTTCTTTTCTTTTGCTGTGCAAATTGATTTCATAGCATAGGGGTTGAAAAAATGCATTAGTGGTTTGTGTCTGCTATTTAAGAAGGAGAAAGTAAGAATTTTATTCCTAGTATATTAAAAAGTATTTTTTGGATTAAGGAAGTGAAAACAGTAGCCAGGTTTTCCTCCAAACTTATCCAAATGCTTATCCATTCCTTCTAAATGTTTCCACATTGAAGAGAGGATAGAGGCTCAGCACATTTCTATTCCATGATAATCCAGGTGGATTTCAAAGAGAAGTGTAGGTTGTATTTAGGGATTAGTTCACTGGCCATTAAAGGGAAGTCACTGCTGCAGTGTTGATCATCCAGTTCCCATGAACAGGGGAACAGTTTATATGTAAGATGCCAAGGTCAGGAAGACGTAGAAAGGCTGTCAGGCTAATTAACCAAGAAAAATTTCAAAGAGAAGATGAGATTATGCTAAAAATTCATTTCTTCTAGAAATGTAATTTGATGCATTCTTATTAACTATTAGGTTTAATGCACTTCTACTGTATTTGTAGATAATAGAGTGGGTACATAATAGTAAGTTTCAAATTAGGATGCTTTCCAGAGATCTCCTCCTTCATGCTCCTGGAACAACTGTTGAGACCCCTGTGTGGGTGCAGATAAGTTCTCACCACAGTGCCACAAGCATACACCATGTAGAGACAAGGGAGAGCTTTCAAAACATACCTGGGTCTCTCTTTGCTAATTCTAACCTTCTAGAATGATCTACATAAATATCAAGTTATAAATATCAAGTAATATTGACAAACTCAATGCCCTCTACCAAAAACAAGCTACCTTGGTAAATGAGGAGTTGGTAAGTTCTTACCTTTTGAGTATATGTCCTTTAGAGGGACTTCTCCTGGGGGTAAAATCCTGACTACTTGATTAGTATCTATGAGAGTCACACAATTGCTCTGCCTTGGAGTTCCAGTTCTCTTCTTTCCTCCATAGAACGCTAGGTCTGTGCTACTCTGTTTATGCAATGATGATGGCCTCTTCCAAGAGTAAACTTCACTGGGGGACTGAAAAAAACAAAGAAGAAAAGAGAGATTGAAAAAAAAAAAAAGAGAAGGTGTCTCTTTGAGTACATCAACACTCGGTTAAGAGCTGTGTCTCTGCTTTTCTGCTTATCTGTTTTGCTTTTTGTCTGCTTATCTGCTTGCTCACTCACTCAATAAAGCTCTGCTAAGTTTTCTTACAAAAAAAAGAAGAAAAGAGAGATTAAAGTAATAGTATACTACACTCACCCCAACTTTTACAGTGTAACCCTTTAAGAGTTTCACACACATAAGAAAATCACATTATCCCTCAGCCTTTTTGAATTCAGTCCAGAAGATGGCTGCTCCACCAATCATTATATCCTAGACAAGTGTGAAATGTATAGGCCATTTTTTTTTGTTTTGAAATAAATTACAATTATAAGGAAATATAGCAGAATAGAGTGTCAGTGGACTCACATCTATAATCCTAGTATGAGGCTCCATCTTCAAAATAACCAATAAAAAAACTGGGTTGAAGTAAAAGCTCAAAGTGAAAAGTACTATCCAAGCAAACAAAATAACAAAGTACAAGGCCCTGAGTTCAAAATCCACTATTGACAAAAAGTAATATAAGTGACACTTACGTACCTAACTTTTGGCATAAAGAAGAAAACATGACAAACTTTTAAAGCCCTTGGAGTGGACTTTCCTAACCACATGTCTTTGTCGCTTATGAATTTAACCGTTTTCTTATGCATGACTTTAAATTTTTACCATATGAATTTGCCCTTCCTAATATCATAAGGCATATTTTTCCTATGTTTTCTTTGAAAGTCTTTTTTTTTTTTTTTTGGTCGGTTCTGGTGCCTGAACTCTGGGCCTGGGCACTGTCCCTCAGCTCTTCAGCTCAAGGCTAGCACTCTACCACTTGAGGCACAGCGCTACTTCCAGGTTTTTTCTGCTTATGTGGTGCTGAGGAATCGAACCCAGGGCCTCATGCATGCAAGGCAAGTGCTCTACCACTGAGCCACCTTCCCAGCCTTCTTTGAAAGTCTTAAAGTGGTATCTTTCATGTTTAGTTCTTAACCAATAAAAATTTATTTCAATGAACAGTGTGAAGCAGGATCCAAATTCATCCTTTCCCACAAGGACAGCTTTTTTTTTTGTCCAAATACCACCAGCCTTTGTCTATTGGTATTCAATGCTGTCAAAAAGACAGCCCATATTCACATGCTTTCTGTTCTGTTCTCTTCTCTCTCTCTCTTTCTCTCTCTCTGTGTATACTTTTTGTGGCTCTTCCTCTCCCCTTTTCTTTCCTCACCCCTTCTCTCCTTTCCTTCTCTTATCTTCCTTTCCCATCTCTTATTATACTGGAGTTTGACCTCAGGGATGAGCACTTGCTGTCAGGCTGAGTCACTTAAGCAACACTCTCAGTTCTTTAACAGTATCTTTTCCTTCCTTCCTTCCTTTGTGTGTGTGTGTGTGTGTGTGTGTGTGTGTGTGTACGCATACATGTGTGTGTGTGTGTGTGTGTGTGTGTCCACTAGTCCTAGGATTTGAATTCAGGGCTTGGACATTGTCCCTGAGCTTTTTATTTCCTCAGGGCTAGTACTCTACTGCTTGAGCCACAGCTTCACTTACAGCTTTACTGTATTTAACTGGAGATAAGAATCTCATAGACTGGGCTGGGAAGTTGGCTCAGTGGTAGAGCGCTTGCCTTGCATGCCTGAGGCCCTGGGTTTGATTCCTCAGTACCACATAAGCATAAAGAAAAAAGCCGGAAGTGGCTCAAGTGGTAGAGTGCTAGCCTTGAGCTGAAGAGCTGAGGGACAGCGCTCAGACCCAGAGTTCAGGCCCCACAACCAGATCCCCCTCCACCCCCCCCCCCCACCAAAAAATCTCATAGACTTTTCTACCCAGGCAGGCTTCAAATCGAGATCCTCAGATCTCAGCCTCCTGAGTAGCTACACTTACAGGTGTAAGCCACTGATGTCTGGATTTTAACATTATCTTTTATAGAAGTTTTACATTTTGATGAACTATACTCTATTTTTCTTTGTGTATTGTTTTTGATAATATAGTGTTTAATAGAATAAAAATACCTTTGTCTTTTTGTGTGTGTGTGCTTTGTCTTTTGAGAGAAGGTCTCATTATATAGTCCAGGCTGGTCTCAAACTCTTAATTCAGCAACTCCTACTTCAGCTCTTCCTTAGTGCTGGAATTAGAAGTATGTGTCACCACACCTGGTCTTCTTTTTGATTTTGAGATAATGTAACAGGATGGCCTGGAACTCATTATATAACGGCTGATCTGAAACTAATCCTCTTGTCTTAGCCTTTCTAGTACTGGGATTACAAATGTGTGCCATTGTGCTTATCTTCCTTGTCTTTTTTTTTTTTTTGTGGAACTTGAACTCTAGGCCTGGGTGCTGTCCCTCAGCTCTTCACTTAAGCTCTACCATGTGAGCCACAGCACCACTTCCGGTTTTTCTGGTGGTTTATTTGAGATAGGAGTCTTGTGGACTTTGCTGCGTGGTCTGGCTTTGAACCATGATCCTCAGATATTAGCCTTCCAAGTAGCTAGGATTATAGGCGTGAGCCATCAGCGCCCAGCTCTTCCTTGTCTTATTTTTGATAATACAATGCATTTAAAGTTCACTATTGAGAAACATACTTCCATATATTTTTAAAGCAGCTATTTGATAGAGAAGGCAGGAGGGACAGGATGGTAAGGGAAAAACAAAGGAGGAGGCAACAATGCTGAATAAGAAATGTACTCATTACCTTGCTCATATAACTGTAACCCCTCTGTACAGTATTTTCATAATAAAAAACTTATTTAAAAAAGAAAACAATTTATTGACTTTGATAATTGTATAACAAGCTAATTGGAGGGTGGCACACTCCTTAACTAATAGTTCTATAAATAATACAAAGAAATTCACATAGAAGGGGCTGGGAAGGTGGCTCAGTGGTAGAGTGCTGGCATTGCATGCATGAGGCCCGGGTTCGATTCCTCAGCACCATATAAGCAAAAAGAAAAAAGCCTGAAGTGGTGCTGTGGTTCAAGTGGTAGAGCGCTAGCTTTGAGCTGAAGAGCTGAGGGGCAGCGTCCAGGCCCAGAGTTCAGGCCACACGACCAGACCCCCCCCCCCCAAAAAAAAAGAAATTCACATAGAAGCAGAAAGAAGGTGGTATAAATGATATGAGTTAGAATCACAACTTACAGTCAAGTCTCAGGTCCCTTATATAAGCTCTTTTGCCCTAGGGGAACTTAATTTCTCTGTTTCTGTTTCTTCATCCATAAAACCAAAAAAATATTAAACATCTTTCTTCCCTTTCATTAAGGCTTCTGTAGACACTTTTTTCCAACAATACATTCCATTTTGAGTTATATTATATAATAGCTAATCCTTTTTACTTAATAATTAGGAAGGCATATGGCAAAGCCCTAAGTCACATCTTATCCACTGGGTTTTCTATTTCAAATGTCTTATATCCTGAAGCACTCAGCAGTCATTAATTACATAAAAATGTTGAGGCATATGGGATTGGTGTATTATCTTTAAATGATTCTATCAGCCCACATAAAAGCTACAAAGGAAATTATTAAAATTAAATGCTTCATCAGAACACATGGAGCTATCTAAGGGTATTAGATGATAATCTGTACTGAAATGAACTTTGTATTTCCTTTCTGCAGATTGTCATTAGGGGAAGATAGTGTCCAGTTTCACCCAAAGTCAACTATAAATAGCCTCACCTTTGCAGATAACCTAGGTAACAGCAGAAGGGCATATTTAGGAGAAAGATAAGCTGAGTCCTTATGACAGTCTTACCTAGATACTGCAAAAATAAGATGTATCAGAACAAAACTCAATGGAAAATCAATTGGTCTTCACAATCAAATGGTGTTGAAAATTTTAGTTTATAACTTGAAAAAAGTCATCTTCAGTATATCAAGCGTTGTGTGTCACATACTAAATCATATCACCACATTACATTGTAAACAATAATTTTTAAGGAATAAAACTATACAGGGTAAACACTTTTTAATAACTGATTTCAAATACAGACTTGATCTGAAATGCTTATCGGAAAATTATTACATTTTTAGTTATCCTTCAAATAGGTTTACAGACTATAAGTCAAACTGAGGAGAAAAAGAGTCATTAATTTTAAAAGTTGATGCTTACCATGAGATCTGGGAAGCCAACAATTATAGTGGCATAACTGCTTTCATCTGAGAGAATTCGGTTAGGAGAGGCAATCTTCTGTCCCACAGCTGAACTTAGATTTTCAGCTGATAGTTGATCACTTGAAATTTTATGAGGAAGGCTGAACTCCATTTCTGAGAATGGTCAGAAAAAATTTTAGATATGATATACTCCTACTGTGCATCTCATTTTTGTAAGATTTTATTTTAACAACTTAAACAGAAAACATTAAAGGTGGCTCAGTGGTAGGGCACTTGCCTTGCATGCCTGAGGCCCTGGGTTCTATTCCTCAGGACCACATAAGCAAAAAGAAAAAAGCCGGAGGTGGCGCTGTGTCTCAAGTGGTAGAGTGCTAGCCTTGAGCTGAAGAGCTGAGGGACAGCACCCAGGCCCAGAGTTCAGGCCCCAGGAGCAGACCAAAAAAAACCCCTTTAAAGTGCATTAACTAGCTTTCACTAAGAAAACTGTTTTTATAATCTAAACATCTTCCCAAAATAATTCCAAGTATTTATGGAATTCAAAATTTTGTTAGCCACATGTATTATCATTAACAGCTCTTTGCATAAAAGATGTAAAACTGAAATAACCTAGCATTAGGAAGGAACATCAGATTTTTTGCTCATGAATACTATTAGAAATTAGTAGAAATTCTAATGATCTGTGGAAGGAAAAAAATGATGCTATTTTCAATGAGACTTGGAACTCAAATGTAAGTAAAAATTATGACTTGTCAATTAAAGAGTTTCAGGCAGGATTTAAAGGAGTGAGTTTCCTCATGAGCATTTGAAAAGTGGCCGATTATTATTTCCTACTTCTAGTGTAGCTACTAAGCTTTTTCTTTTGGTATGGACTTCACACAGGCTGATGTTGCTGTTCTTCAGTGAATCTAGAGGACAGTGTGTGCACATACCACACAACCATAAACATAGAGAGCATGGCATTTACCTTGTATAACTCCAAACCCAGTGCTAGGCAGCTCCTCTTTCAGAACATATAATTGGCAAACCCCACTGTTATCAGATTCAATGTGTGCAGGCTTAGTTAAAAGGTATTTCCTGTAAATAAATAAGACATCTAAATGAAAAATTTTCCTTTTTTCCAATAGTCATTGGGGCAGATCAAGAACATTAAGAGATTTTCTCCTCTCCAAGCCTTTCTAAAAATAGTGTGAGAATAATTTGTAGTTTCAGCATTTTGTCATGAGTTAACAAGTATCTTCTCTACACTGTTGTAACCAGTACTCCCCAATAACAATGCAGTAACAAATGTGATCCAAATATCCAACATTTTCTATTACACAAAGTACACAATCTTATTACTATGGGGCCCTCTATTAAAATGACTGGAAACAGGTAGTTAAGTGGGAGCACAACCTCTCACTTGTGACCAGCTGAGGGGCAGAAGTCCTTGCATATAATCCTCTGTGTGTGTGTGTGTGTGTGTGTGTGTGTGTGTGTGTACTGGAGCTTATATGTGTGCTCTGGAGCTTGTGTGTGTGTGTGTGTGTGTGTGTGTGTACTGGAGCTTAAACTCGGGCTGGGCAGTGTACTGGAGCTTCTTTGCTCAAGTCTAGTGCTCTACCACTTCAGCTATGACTCCACTTCCAGCTTTTTGGTGGTGAATTGGAGCTAAGAGTCTCATGGACTTTTCTTCTTGGGCTAGCTTTGAACCATGATCCTTCAGATTTCATTACAGGAATGAGCTACTGGCACCAGGCTCTCTTGATTTTTTTTTAATTCTGAAAGATTTTAAAAAAAATCTCACAATAAAAAAATTAAAAAAATCTTTTAGATGTATCAATACCCCATGTGGCATGCAGGGAGCCACCTCTATTTGTCAGTGTCTATACTTTGTGGATATGCTTCATGAAGATGGGGACACCAAAATTTACCAAGTGCCAAGCGCCACACACTGCTCTTCACTAAGAATTGTACAACACCAACAATCATAGCCACAACTATAAGAGCACACAGAATGAAAGGAGATTTGTGAAGTTACATCAAAAAGGCAACAGCTCTAGGATGGAGACTGTAGCTCTTAGAGGGAGGATCAACTGAAAATCTGCTTTGCTACTCTCCAACTTGATAAGAACACAGTGCATTCTCAATATGCAAGCAGGAAAATTCCAAATAAATATGAACCATATGTAAAAGTCATCTCTCTTTTTTTTTTACTGTCAATTTTGTTGTTGTGTTCTGAAAGGAGATATTTAATTCTGTTTAATTTTTCTTCTCTCAGTCTTCTTATAACTCTCTTCTATAGAATAAAGCTGCAAAACAGGAATTGGTAAAAGACAGAAATAAGGAGGACAGGATACTAAGAGTGGCTGGACAATTGAGGAATGAGTTTGAGCTACAGCAATCCATGAGCTACTACAGAGGATAGTTTCACTCACTGATTGGTTTTGCTCTCCACCAGAAGCCACTTGTCCTCTGCTACCAGAAAAGCTGCCCTGAGGTTGATGGGAAGCACTATGGTGTGTGTGAGGCCTTCTAAGACATCCAGTACAGTCAAGCTGTTCCTGTAAAGGGAGAAGAAAAGTATATCTGAAAGGAAATGGTGAGGATGACAGTTGAGTAACCATGGTATAATCATTTCATGATCTATTGCGCAATCTTAAAAAGAACAGTTTTAAGGTTAAGTAATAACAGAAAAATGTTAGTTGAGACGGCAGACAGAATTCTAACCCATGTCCGGGTATGCATGAAAAGAAAATGGAAAATGACAGCTGCCACATTAGAGGTAGCTGTTAGAGAATTACAAGTCTTATCTTTCATGTCGATTTCCCAATGTCCTACATTATGCAAAGAGTTTCTTTTACAGTACACTAACACATTTGCAATTTGTCTGCAATTTAGTTTCATACTAAGTAGTTAAAATTAAAACAGAAAATTGAATAAAATAAGGATCTCATTTCAACATTATCTACAACGAAGAGCTCACCCTTTTTCTTTGTAGAATACTAGCCAGTTTTTGTGTGAAAATTCTTTACACATTTTATAAGTTTCCTAAAGGCAAAACAAAACAAAACATTCACATTAAATATGTTGGATATATTCATGTTTCTTTAGCTAGTTTCTCCAATACATTTAAGGGCATGTGCATTAATCTGTGTTTCAAAACTTACTTATAACTATGCACTAAATCATCTTTAGAACAAAAAATTTAAAAATAGTGCCAAATCTGTTTAGAAATAAACATGTTATCTGGTGGCCCACCACAGAATTTAACAGAAACAAATGGTTATTTCCTTAGATCTGAATTCATTTAAGAAAATCAGAATTTTCATAGTTTTAAGACCCATAGTTGTTGTCTTATTTTATATTTGACTGACAGAATGAACTTTCCTAAACTTCTACTGTTTTCTTTCTACTAGTTCATAAGCTGAAATATTTACCCAGTAGAGGCAATTAGTCCAAGTTGTAACTCTATAAGTTTACAGTTTGATTCAGAATTTATTACAAGTACTATGTTCTATATTTACTAGTTCAGTTCTGACTATCTTCAGGTCAACTTGATGGATGCCAAAAGAACACACTGATATTTAATTCTACATGTATCTCTATATAGCTGTAAGGAAAAATCTACTAATGTGTAACAGAGAACTTTCTTATGCATTATACATTTTTTAAAAAAAGAAAAGGCACTGAAAGGGATGGGCAGGCACACATCTTGACTACAAAGCTACAGTAAACTCTCAGCAATTTGCCAGACAGATCCAGCATTCCTTACACCTTCCTCTTTGCTCCACCAGGAAGATTTCTTAGATGTCACCTCTTCCAAAGGGAGGATGAGACGACGAAGGACCCGGCCAGTGGTATCTAACAAAAGGATAACATTGCTCTGGAAATAAAGAAAACAATGTAAAGTTCAAGATATGTACCTTTTCTTTTTGTTTAAAGCAGCATCTTGCCAAACTCAGGTGACTCATGCCTGTAATCCTAGACACTCAGTAAGTTGAGTTTCTGAGGATCTCGGTTCAAAGCCAGCTTGGGCAGGAAAGTCTGTGAGACTCTTATCTCCAATTAACCACTAAAAAGCCAGAAGTGGAGCTATGGCAAGTAGTAGAGTGCTAGCCTTGAGCAAAAAGCTAAGAGACAACACCCAGGCCCTAGCTTTAAGCTCCAGGACTAGAACCAACAAAATAAAACAAAATACCACCCCAACAAACAAACAAAAGATCGGCACTTTTTACAATGTGGCTATGAAAGTTACAGTGAAAGGATGACAAAGATATTGAAATACTACAACATATCATGAATATACTCATTTTCCTTAATACAGAATTTGTCTGATTTTTAGGAAGATATTTCTAGTTACATAATTATATAATTTTAAAATGTTTTCTCTTAAAAATAATTTCCTTCTAAATCTAAGCTAGCTAATCCCTGATTGTGTTTCATACATAGGAAACAAGAGTAAAAGACTAATAATTTTAAAAAGTTCATTTAGAGATCTAAACTACATTTATAGAGCTCTCTGTTAAAAGCTACCTTATAAGAGGCATAGTTAAAATGTCTTTTATCCTTTCTACAAATCTAGGTAAGGTTGTATTTAAAGCACACAAAAAAGTATAATCATGGATTAATCATGGTCATTTTGTAAGAGAAATAAAACATAAAAATATCCATGGCTCAGCTGCAAATTTAGTGCTTTCTAGTGTGGTTTCAAATATATATTACAGTTTCATTAACACACTTAGGAGTTAAAACAATATTTATGCCATGTAGTTTATTCCATCTACTTTAGATCTTGACTGTAGGAGATGATCTTATTAAGCATGTGGTCATTTAAAGTTTCCATAAACATTTCATTTAAGATGTATCATTCTAAATGCTTCATTAGGAATGTATGATATATTCTTTTAAAAGTTAATATCTAACATGACAAGTATTATTTAATGGCATTTGAAGGTTTTGAAAATGGTACTTATAGCTTACAACTTTTCTTAAGAAAAAATATAAGTTAAAATTTTACAAAGCTTCCATTTTAAATTAAACCTCCTTTCAGTGTTAATAGAGAAAATTTTTCTTCATTGATAAATATGTATAACACTGACTTCAATTCTTAGACTTTAATAACTTGGAATTAACTGGAACACTAAAATGATGTTTTTTTTTCCCACAAAAGGATTAAGTGAAGAATAAGCAAATCATTAAATATATAATTAAACATAAAAATAAGTTAGTGCTATTTTCTACTTGTCTTTCTTTTAAGGGTCTAAAATTTTCATGCTCATCTCTTGGTGTAACTAAATTAAAAACTATCTTTTCAAGTGTCAGAACATATATAATATATATATATATATATATTATATATTCAGCCATTGCTGTATTTAGAATTACTTTTGTAGGTAATTGGCAGCATGAAGAAGTTCTGTGGCTTGGTTCTTTTAGATGTTAATGGTTTCCTTCTGTAAATGACTAATGATATTCTGTCTGAGTTTAAAAATAGAACTTAACGTCACACATGAGTACATGTAACTGTGGCTTTGGCACTGCTTTAAGGGCGGGAATAGAAGCAAGTGAGCGATTTTTATTATGTTTGTATTTGACTGAGAGAAAAGTAACCTCTGGATGACCTCTATGTCCCCAAGTCTGAAGTTCTAAATGTTGTGCAGATGTAATAAATAATCCCACAGGAGGAGGGAAATGTCTTTATTTTTAGGCATGGCAAAGTTTTCCTTTCCTCACTTAAGATTATATTTCAGCAAAAAAAATTTTTTTTAAACAACTACTTTAATTAACCAGGGGAATGTGTCTCTAGCAAAACTTTATTTTACAAGGATCAGGGATAGGTTTATTCATGACAACCCTCAACCATATTTGAGTTTCATTTTCAGTGTGGGCAAAGTGGAGAAAAAGCAATTGCTGGAAGTCTACTCATTTAAATTTTTTTTTTTTACTAGAAATAGGACTAGTTGTTAGACTTCACAGCTTGGTGCTGTTCATATGGAGTCAACAGGTCTGACATCCTAACAGACCCATCTTACAAGTTAGTTAGCTACAATAATTTCTTTGGGGATGCAGAATGTAGGGAGGCTGCAGGACAGATAGGTAGAGTGGATGTATCCAGGCACCTGGTGTGTCTACTCAGGCTATAGAAGCAGCTTTCTGACAAACTGCTGGAACTTTGGCCAGAGAGATGAGCAAGTAAGTAGCAGGTAAAAGAGCTGGGAGGCCAGGTACTGGCTGTGGAAGTCAAGGAGAGCTTTATGATGAAAACTATATTTCCTCCCATAAAAGTCCTTGCCACTGAACAGAATATTAATCAGCAATGTCGCAAAACAACTGGATCTTTTGCGAAAACAAAGCACTTGGTGGGAATCTAAAAACCTGGTATTTTAAAAACAGAATTTGTATATGTAAATTTAACAGTTAATTTGACTGCTGAAAATACGGCAAGACTATTTGAATAAATGCCCCAAATTTTTTATTCTTTCAATGCTGGTTAGTTTACTACATTAAAATTCACTGAGATACCTTGTTTATTTTATGATAGTTTCTTCTGGCTGGAGGACTCAACAATAACATCAATATTTTGTTGGAGATCTATAAAGTTAAGGTTCTTTCTCTAGTTTTTTGGAAAGAAACTTTTGTAAGAAATATTTGGATATGGATGAACTCTGCTTCTGGTAGAAAGTAAGTAGAAAGTTAGGGTTCATTTTCCTAACATCACCTTATCTGACCTTTTCTGCTTGACTCATATATATACTAGATATTGCAAATAAGGGAAACCATGGGACCTATGTTTCTTTGGGTCTGGCTTACTTCACTTAATATAATTTTTTCCAAGTCTTTCCATTTCCTAACAAATGGGGCAATGTCATTCTTTCTGATGGTGGCATAGAATTCCATTGTGTATATATACCACATTTTCTTGATCCATTCATCTACTGAGGGGCATCTGGGTTGGTTCCATATCTTAGGTATGGTAAACAATGCTGCAATAAACATAGTTGTGCTGGTAGCTTTCGTGTGGTCTTGTTTGTAAACATTTGGGTAAATGCCCAAAAATGGGATTGCTGGGTCATAGGGGAGCTCTAAGATATGTATTTAAATGTTTTTTTTTCTTTCATGCATTTGTTTCTAACGCAATTATAATATTATTTCTTTGTTGCTTTTTATGTCCTTCCCCCACAGTATAACCCATGCTGTCACTGTATTTGATGTCGGTATAATTTGTGGAGGGGAAGGGGAAAAACAAGTCGTTTAAATTAGGACACAGGTGGACTCGTTGCAACAATGAGAAGTACAAGTTGTCATGTCGAAAACGAACTTTACAACTTTGGTGTGTGTGGGGGAGAGGAGGGCAGAGGGAGGCTGGGAAGGGATGGGAAGGGTAAACAAAGGAGGAGGCAACAATGCTTGATAAGAAATGTACTCATTATCTTGCCTATGTAATTGTAACCCCTCTGTACAGTATTTTCACAATAAAAAAAAAGAAAGTAAGTAGAAAGTTATATCAGAATTCATGATAATTACCTAGGCAAGAACTACAGTTAAAAGCTGATTTATTTCTCCAGTAATATTTTACTTTTGATTAGATAGTTTAAAAATTATTTCTTGACAGTACTTTGCTCTTCAAATACAGATAATGGAGTTCTTTTTAATGTTTCAGACTATAGTACTCTTTTTCCCAAATGCTTGTAGAAAATGAGAGTGAGTAGTTTACTTCTAGTGGGGTCTATCCAATTTGGTTGGGATGTCAGTCTTCAGATGTATTTGACTTTAACCTCCATTCCTAAGCAAATATGTAAATATGGAGTACAGCAACTCACCGAGAGTTGGAAACATGAGACTCTCTTTGAGATTTCCATCAGTTGCCTTTCAGGGTACTTCCCTGAGTTTTGTTCCTTTATGTCACTAGCTTCTCCTACTCAATCCCTGCTTTGGATTCATCATCTCCTTGATATCATAGTATTTCACCACCCCAGAGCTTAGAACTTGGGACTTTCCTATCTACACTTCGCCCCTTCTCCCTCATGATCTCTTTCAGATTTGTGACCTTAAGTGATATTTATACAGGAATGACTCCCAAATTTATATTTCCTGTTTTTACCTCTTTGTTGAACTCTAGGCTCATTGTTTATCTGGTAGTTCAACAGATCTCAAATTTAATCAAATGTTTTCTGTGGTTCCCTCTTAAATTGATTCCTTCAGTATTTCAGTTAAGGACAACTCATCCAAATTGCTCAGTCCCTAAATCTTAAAGCTGTCTTTAATTCTCTCTTACTCCAAACATCTGCTCTGTTAGGAAATGCTATTTGTTATATTTTGAAAACATACCAAGGATTTATCACTATTTATAACCTACATCCTCCAAACCACCATCCCTCTCTTGAATCATTTAGAAAGAAATCTCTTAACTACTTTTCCTCATTCTGCCTTAGCGCCTCTAGGTTATTCACTACAGGGAAATAAAAAAAATCTTTTACAAATATGTCAGATCGTGCTGTTTCACAATTCAAAAGTCTCTAATACTCATCACCCTTTCACTTAGTCAGGGTCCAGAATCTTTGATGTCACAGAAGAGTCTACCATCTGTGTCCCATTGCCCCTTCTAGCTCATCTCTGACTAACCAACTGAGTAACCTTGTTACTTCACTTCTCATTCTCATCTTCCAATCATCTCCAACACACTTCCTTAAAGAGAAAGAGGAATGTTCCACTTTTGGCTCTTGGAATTTAAGGTTTCCTTTGCCTAGAATACTCTTCTTCAAAGTGTCTGTTCTCCTCAACCCCATCAGCTCTTTGTTTAAACATCTCCTTTTCAGTTAAGTAATCTCTATCCACCTATTTAAAATTGCAATCCAACTTTCTCTTGCTTCTTACATTCTAGCCTCAGATATAATTTAATTCTTACTTTGCTTATTGTCTATCTTCCTGTACTACCTTATAAACATTTTTTTCTTGTTTTGTTCACTGCAGTATTTCCAACAGTAGGTGAAAGATATATATGTATACATGTATATGTACATATATGTGTATATATCCATAGAATGAATAATATGCCTGGTATAATACCTGATAGACATCTGGCTGATGATAGTTATACAGAAACATTACATTATTTTCTATTGGAAAATAGCTTAATTAGACACTTAGAATTCTCAATAATGAAAACAAAGCCTGCCATTTGAAAACAAAACCTGTCTTTCGATCTATAACATCTGTTTGGAATATTTTTAGCCTGACTCTGAGCATCCGTGCTTTACTACTGAAATCTTAGTGTGCTAATCCACAGAAGTGATAGATGGAAGTTAAGCATTATTATATAGTAAGGGATGGATCTCAGTGTGTTCTATTCAGTAGATTTATGTGGCTCTCTTTACAGAAAGAATGTCATTTAGACCTCAACTGTCATTTCCTTACAGTAGATATCTCAGTACTCCTTTCAATAGTATCCACACTCCTGACCTCCTATTGTAGCTCCATTACTCCCTTAGATATTATCCTGTTTCTGTACAGCGCTTAAAATGACTTGAAATTGGCATTTTTTTTCTTTAGTAGTTTGTTGTCTGTCTTTCTAAGAAGAATGCAAGCTTCATAACAAAGAATTATGTGACTCCCAACTCTCAAAATATTGAGGTGGGCAACTCTGACAAACTTGTTTCAAACTGTTGGTCTCGCGCCTGTAATCATAGCTACTAAGGAGGCTGAGATCTGAGGATCGCGGTTCAAAGCCACCCCGGGCAGAAAAGTCCGTGAGACTCTTATTTCCATTAAAGCACTAGAAAACCAGAAGTGGCACTGTGGCTTAAGTGATAGAGTACTAGCCTTGAGCTGAAGAACACAGAGACAGTGCCCAAGCCCAGAGTTCAAGCCATGACTGACAACCCCCCCCAAAAACAACAACAACAACAACAACTGTTGTCTCTACCTAGAGGAGGATGGAAGCCTACTATCTACTGGTATTACTGATAGAATCCAACTCCTGACTTTTCTACAACCTCTATCCTTGATCTTAAAAAAGCACACACTTTCAGTTATAGGTTGCAAATCACTCTTGCCTTTTTCTTCATGCAAGTTACTCATAGCTGTACCATGTGAGAAGGCTGGTGTACATTACCTGCTCTTCATGGAGAATAACCTGACTCTTGAGGGGACTTCCCAGAGGTGCCACTGTCACAAAAGGTTGCCAAACTCCACTGGCCATTCTTGGGAAGATGTCAAAAAAGTCCACAAAGAAGACATTTTTTCCAGTCATATCCATAAAGTATAAGGAAACAGGATTGCATGCAGCTACATACAGAGTATTTTTTTCATTTTCTGAAATGACAAAAAGTTTTTTTTTCTAACTTTATTGTGAGAATACCGTACAGAGTAGTTACAATTACACGGGCAAGATAACGAGCACATTTCTTCTTTTTTTTGGGGGGGGGGGTCCAGTCGTGGGGCCTGAACTCTGGACCTGGGTGCTGTCCCTCAGCTCTTCAGCTTAAGGCTAGCACTCTACCACTTGAGCCACAGCGCCACTTCCGGCTTTTTTCTTTTTGCTTATGTGGTGCTGAGGAATCGAACCCAGGGCCTCAGGCATGCAAGGCAAGCGTTCTACCACTGAGCCACCTTCCCAGCCCAATGAGTACATTTCTTATCAAGCATTGTTGCTTCCTCTTTGTTTCCCCTTCCCATATTCCTCTACCCCCCCCACTGGATGCTCCCCCCCCAACCAAAGTTGTAAAGTTTGTTTTTCGACATAACGACTTGTACATCTCATTGTTGCAATGGGTCCACCTGTATCCCTAGTTAAAAGTTTTAATTTTGTAGTTTGCAGCCAATTTTCAGATTAGTCAAGAGGTCTAGTGAAAAATGGAAGCATGAAAAAGCATACATAATAGAAACTCAGCAGATGATATGTAGATGATTTGACCAATTAGGCTGAAAAGACTACAAGTAGCTACTTAGGTTTTATACTAAATGTAGATAGCATGATGTGGAAATAAGTCTCTATTTGCTCCAATGCCACATATCTCATAATATCTTCATTATATTTTTAACAGTCCTCAATGTCAGGAAATTCTTCCTGATACGATAGCAGGATGTTGTATGCTCTGTTTTTTTTTTTTTTTTCAGAAGGACAATAGCTTTTCAATATATTGTACCCACTAATCTTTCATTTTCTTTAGGATTTTCTTACTATAAATAATTAAAAAATTTTAAACATCTTAGTCCTGTGATTTTTTTCCAGTGCTGGGACATGAACCCAGGATCTTGTACATGGAATCCAATGGAAGTTTTAGAGATATTAATTTTAAAATTCTGTTCATACTTGACTATTTCTTATTAAAATCTTCCTTTTCAATCTATGTCCAATTAATTTATTATATCACTAGTTCTTCAAATTCCAAATCAAATGAGACATCAATGAAAATGCAGACTTTAATTCAGTAGATCTGGGTGGGCTTTCAGATTCTATCATTCCAGTGAGTTCAAAGGAGTTATCAAGGTTGCTAAACTGTGACACAACCTTTGAGTAACCAGGTTCTGAACTAAGATTCTCATAATTTCTCATGTGAACATGTATAGGCAAAGTATTAAGCCTCTCCTTTCTAATAAATACAATCAGTATCACAGATCAATAAAATATCCTCTTTTATGGTGGGTATATTTTCTGAACCCAAAATTAAGACACAAAATATGACACAAAATATGTCCTAAAGTGAGGAAAATACTAAAAAATCTGGACCACATGTATATACATCATATTTATAATATCATATATACATGTACCCAATACTATACCCACATTATATACTGATATATATGTAAATATGATTATATAGTGTATGATTATTTACATTATAAATGCGATTATATTATGTATAAAGGTTCAAACCCCAGTATCACCAAAAACAGGGGGAGAAAAGAATCACAGCCATCAACAGAAGGGCTAAGGAAGACATATTATTATTTAGGTGTATTACAGTTCTAAAAGCAGAACCATAGTGTGCATGATTAATGGACTCTTATGAACACAAGTTCAGCCTAACAGTTACTGGGAAGCTTCCTAAGCTGTACAGAGCAACAAGGAATATAGCAAGAATGTTTACAGATAAGTACTTCATAAATGTGTTAACTGCTGTATTGCTGGCATTCAGTACCACTGAGTCTCTGGCTTAGACACATAGACGTATAATTAACTCCAATTCTAATTAAGAAAATGCTCTTTCCTTTCACAAATGCAGAATTAGGTATAAAAAAAATGATTTCCTGGGCTCCTGAATGCTCCTATGTAACCCTTGCTGCTGCCCAGACACCTGTGATAGGAGGAAAAGAACTGTTTTGTTCTTGGTGAAGCATCCCTGAAAAATGTATATAGGTCAGTTGCTTTCATAGATATTACAGCTGACTGCTAGCAAGAGCCACGCTGTTAATTATCTGGTAACAATGAAAAAAACATTTTTGCAAATGAGGCTAAGTAGCTGTCTAACAAATTTTAATTGGCAACCACAGGGTTGATGGTTAATGGCAGAAGAAAGCTTATGGTTATACATTTGCCATTTGCTTGTAATAGTTCCCTCTTTGCAAAACATGATTTTTGGTGATCTAAATAAAGCTTTTCCTGTCTTGTTTGAGGTTTTACAGCTACACTTCACTTTTAACATTACAATTCCTTTTCTGTAAAATGCTATTTTGGGTGATCTATTAAAAATAACAAAAAATATCAAACTTGCAGATGCGGAAAACACTAAAATAAAAGGGTTGAATTATATTGGCCAAATCTAACTGACTAGTCAGGGCCGCCTAGAATGTTTGGCTGAGAACAGGGAGACCATAAACACTGTTAATGAGAAAAGTGCAGCAGTTCACTTGCTGCTTATACAGGAAGGGAGAAAGGATCACAGCGCACTTAGGATACCTAAATAGAAGACAAGGGCCAAAGGTCTCTTTACTAGTAAATGCAAAATATGTTAACAACAGCAACAATCTTCCACCATAAAAAACTGTAAGTATTTTGCAACATCAATTTATTTGCAATAGCTGACTTGGGAAATCTAACAATATTGATAGACCTTAGAGGAACACAAATAAGGTACTGATTTTTTTTTTTTTCAGTCTGAGAAATTTCCTTTTTAGTCAAGTTAGAAAGACTCTCCTTTCCCCCAGCCACTGCTTCTGTTTATGTCCCCTTAGTAACTGACATCAACTGAAGAATTTCTGCCAAAGATACCCAGGGTCATTAAAATCAATAGGTAGTGGCATCACTCCAAAAGCGTGGTGCCAGAAATTCACATTCGTATTTGTCTTCTTTACAATGAAAAGTTTAATAACTTCAGATCACTTCAGCCTTGGTTTTGTGGTTCATGTAATCACTAAACTGAAATCCCAGACCCCCAAATCCAATGTTTCTCCTTTTTCTTCTACCTTTCTATTTTTAGCACATTCTTGGGCGTGTTTAACTTTGTGCTACAATTGTAATGAGAAACAGATATATGCACACAAACTCAGCAGTGCTTATGTGGATTCCATAATAGCATTCTGTTAGGTTGTTACAGGAAATTAGTTCTAAATTATATATAATTGCTGTCCAATCTCCAAATGATCAACTCTCTCCTTGATGCACAAGATTATTTTAAGACCTCTCTCCTTGTTTAAATCACTACAGAAAGAAATGATCAAAAGAACAAACCAACATACCGTGTGATACAGCAATGTCACAGATTAAATTAGTTTCATCCAATGGCAACTTCCAGGAAGCACATTCCTCAGTAAAGCTTAGGGCTCTTCCTTCATGTCTTTCTATTGGATACTCTTGTATGTTTATAGGTACTGGACCCTATAATAAAATAATTATCTGAATTTGAGCAATCAGCACAATATGGGACAGGTAAAGTTCTTCAAAGATACAGAATTTATACTCAAATATTTAATATATTAATAAGCTTCATTTTACTGTTTGGTATAGTGCTTATAACAATAATTCCACACTAAACATTTATAAATGCTTTCATTTGTGTTATCCCATTAATTTCTTTTGTTTTTACTTACATAATATACTAGATATAAAATCCCAAAGGATTTCACACTATTTCATTTCATGCTAAACTAAGAACCCATTTTGTACTTCATGTATCAAGACACAGAGTTGTCCAAATCAAGAGAATAATTTATAAGTTAGTAAACCAGGGCTTAATATATTTCTATTGTAGAATATATTGTTATAGGAATGAAATGGTTAAGTCTTTTAAATAGATTATAATTTTTCTGTTTCTTTTGTATGTTCTTCCCACATGGTATAATGCCTGTTTTCACTGTATTTGATTCCGGTGTCCTGCATCTTGTATATATTTTTCTAATTTGGGGAGGGGGAGGGAAATAATAAAATGCTGAAATAAGGATATAGGATGACCCATTGTAACAACGAGATGTACAAGACAAAATGCTGAAAACGAACTTTATAACTTCGTGGGAGGTTGGGGAGGTTGGGAGGAAAGGGATGGTAGAGGAAAAACAAAGGAGGGGGAAACAATGTTCGATAGGAAATGGACTCATTACCTTGCTTAAGTAACTGTTACCCTTCTGTACAGTATCTTTACAATAAAAACTATTAAAATTTTGAAATAAAATAAAAATTTACCAATAATCAATAGCATTCTTGATGAAAGAGTATGTTGCATATATTGATAATTATTCAATATGAAGACAAGTACTAAGTTAATAATGTTATGAATATTGTTAGTTCTGGATTAGACATGACTTCCTGGAGGTATTTTACATCTGCAAGTAAAATTTCAATTTCCTGGGCTAGATACTGGCATCTATGACCCCTCTCCTATCTAGACCTTTACCTTGGGGGCTCAAAGAACAAAATCATACTCTCTTCTTCCAATTAAGCACAACTGCATGAGATTTTAGGCAGAGAGGTGTTGGGCATCTTCCTGCAGCTACAGCAGCCAAGGAAGAAGTTACAAATATGAGCAGAGTCTATGCTCTACTGAAGGGATGACAAATTATGACCCACAGGCCAAGTATGATTCCACTCTGTTTTTGTAAATTAAACTTTAGCGGAACACAGCCACATCCATTTGTTTATATATTACTATGGCTGCTTTTGCATTACAATGGCAGAGTGAAGTAGCTGCAAAAGAATTCCACATGACCACATAGCCTTCGATATCTATTTACTGAAAAAGTTTTCTTACGCTGTGTTCCCTAGCATCAGGGATAGTAGCAGATGAAGGACACTGACCTTAAAACTATAAATCCAGTGGAGCCCTCCGACTTCTGTTCTCCCTGTTTCTCCTAATGATTTTGTAGCCACCTGATTTCCTAGCATAGATTCATTTCTACTTGAAATACTCAGAGTGATTTTAATTCCAATTAATGACTAGTGATCCTGTCCTTTGTCACATGAAGACAACAATGGGCAGCTAATGAGAAGACAAAAATTTTAAAAAGCACAAAGTTTTAATTCCATTGGCAAATACAAGACAGGTGTATCCCAGTTCTCTGAATACTCTTGGAAATTAAGCAATATACTTGACTAACTCTCCTGAAATACAGATTTGTTCTCAGATATTCTATCTGGCCATTAGGAATTGCTAACATTGGGTTTCTCAGAAGTCAGCCTGATTTGGAAGGTAGAGTAGGAGCCAAAACTAGAATAGAATAGAATAGAACAGAAAGAAGACTAGAATAGAATACAAAGAATAGAATGAATATATATCAGAACAAGTAATTTCTGAGACTGTATGGATTGTATGGAATTTCTCCAGAGAGAATAGAGAAAATTTTGTAAGAGTGACTATTTGAATAGAAAATCATAAAAATACCAACCTTTATGTCGATATGATGAGTTTCTGCTGGGCACAAGAGTTTCTGCATTCCATTTCTTGCCTGACCAATTGTCCAGTAGCCCATGAATGTTTGATCTGGCAGAGGCAACCTGTCAAAGATGATTGAAAAAGTAGGCATTTTTTCCTTATTATCAAGTCATAGGGACAAATGAGCTAATTACTACCAACTACACAAATAAATTTGAAGAATGCTTTACTCAGAAGTGAGTTATACTAATTTTATCTAAAATTTACAAAATTGTGTTTAGAAAGGATATTAAGACAAAAAAGATACCACATTGCATGAAACTGCAAGGTAAGATTTCATCCTTATTTATTTATTTTTTGGTGTTGGTCGTGGGGTTTGAACTCTGGGCCTGAGTACTTTCCCTGTGCTCTTAAGCTCAAGGCGAGTGCTCTACCACTTGAGCCATAGTACCACTTTCAGTTTTCTAGTGGTTTATTGGAGATAAGAGTCTCACGGAGTGAGTCTCACGGAGTTTTCTGCCTGAGCTGGCTGTGAACTGTGATCCCCAGATCTCAGCCTCCTAAGTAGCTAGGATTATAGGCGTGAGCCACCAGCTGATTTAATCCATTTTTACCTTAATGACAAATATAATTTGATTTTTTTCCTTTAGCTGATAAAATATTTAGTAGCTTAATATGTAATTTCCTGGTAAAGTGTTAGGAAAGCTTTAAAAATACTGGAGAAATCCATCCAATTTTCAGTTTATCCTTTCCAATTTGGAACTATATAACAATCAGTGTCCATTACTACTATGCCCATCTTTCTAACTTGTAGAGGGTCACTTTAAGCACTCTATTTTGGCTTTTTTTTTCACTTTAAGTTTATCCATAACATGAACAAAGAAATGCTTGCTTACATGTGTCACTTAGTTTTGAAAACACCCTTGTAATCAAAATGAAACATTACCCAGAGCCCTCTTAAAATCATCTTTCATCACTTCTTCCACCAAGCAAGCTATTACCCTGACTTCTTGTTTATTTTATGTGACTTTCTTTGTTAATTTGTTTTGAGAGAGGGTCTTGCTAGCTACCCTTAAATTCTTAATCCTCCTGCCACAGACTCTGAGTGACCAAGATTACAGGGAGGTGTTAACATGCCCAGCTAAAGCTGATGGCTCAACACATGTAATCCTTACAACTGAGGCTGAGATGTGAGGTTTCCTGCAAGCAGGGCAGGAAAGTCTACAAGACTCATCTCCAAGTAACTACCAGAAAACTGGAAGGGAAGCCGTGGTTCAAAGTGGCAGAGTGCTAGCTGTGAGCAGAAAAGCTCAGGGACAGTGCACAGGCCCTAGTTCAAGCCCCTTGAACAAAGTCCCCCAAAAAGCAAGCAAGTAAAGTAGCACAAAAGTATGAAACTAGAGACAATATAAGAATAAAGCTATCTCTCTTTACTCATATTATCTCTTTAATCTCTTTTTAACAAGGAAAAATTTGTCATTTAACTCATTAGAAATTTCTTATTCTATGATAAATTAAGGTAAAAAGTGATTCAGAGTTAAAGATCTCTAAAAATAATACATATATGACTACAAATTGAAATGTATGCTTGGAACAAACTTAATGATCATTAAAAGAGTACTATTTAGAAATCATTTTATTTTCAGTAAAGCAGTCTAACATGATAGTTCAGTATGTTTAGCACGGTAGGCTTTTACTATTTTTCCAATAAAATAAGGAACAATACACTTTGGTGAAATTTGATTTTTGTCTATTTGAGATATTAATTTCTGAAGAAAAGAGGAAAGAAAAAGAAATTGACATAGAAATTCTTCTAAGCCATATGACACATATCTCTCAAAAGGTCACATGTACTTTTAAACTTATCTAAAACACATTGTAAGTACTGAGACAATTGTCCTGATTGGTGACCTGTGTTTACTGGAAAAATGTGTGTGGGTGTGTCTTGAGTTAGAAGATTGAGTATAATTGTGATCTGTTTCTGAATGTTAATAAAAATGCATTTGTGTCAATAAGATTCATCTCTTTGTCTAGGATCTCTCTCAGAGTTTATTCTTCACTTGATAACATAAGTTCACCAAAGAATAAGGTCTTCAAATATAGGAGGATAAAAGAGACACATTATCTTCAGTACACAAGATAAAGTATTAATAAAATGCAAAGAGATCTGGGTTTTACTTTTGGTTCTTTTATTACACGTCTATGCAAATTTGGGAAGGAAATGCCAGCTAATATCTTAGCAGTAATTTCTTCATTTGTAAAAGAGGGGGATGAGCTGTAAGTTGCCTTTATAACTCAATTTATCTGTGACAGTCAAGGAAGTGAGAAGAACGAAGTGTCAGTGGTGGTTTAAAGATCTTGTATTATCCTGGTTCGAGGGAGTGAAACTTGGAATGAAAATACTTATTGCTACTAGTGGATTAGGTGTGCTTTGCTCCAGTTGATAATCGGTTTTTTGATGACAACAAAATAGTTTCACATCTGGAAATCTAATTAGAGATAGAAATTGCTTAATAAAATGATCCTAGTTGATATCTAATGTAAAAAAATGGGTTTAATGCTGGAGATGAAGCTCAGTGGCAGAGTGCTAGCCTAACATTAGCAAGACTTCTAGTTTAATATTCAGCATTACAAAATAACTAATGTACATATTAACAATTTTACAAAAATAATATCCAGATACTAAGAAAAAAGAAAAGCATTATCCATTTGAGAAAAAGAGAGAAAAGTTAACATTGCTCAATTCAGTTTATAATGACATTGCCTGAGATGTTCATAAAATCTGCTTTGGACTTGCCAACTCATTCTAAATAACAATCATGGAAATTACAGGCTGCCTGGTTCTCTATAAAAACAGCACTGGTTGGTTGTCAGAAGGACCTTAAGGTACGCTATATAGAATATATTCTGGAGCCATATATCAAATAGGACTGAAGGACACATGTTCATAGTGTTCTAGACTTGCACAAACTGACTCCATCCTGTTCCCTGGTAACATGGAATACTGTCTCAGGGTTTTTGTTATTGTTTATTTGTTTGTTTTGTGCTGTCCTGGAGCTTGAATTCAGGGCTTGGACACTGTCCCTGAGCTTCTTTTGCTCAAGCTAGCACTTACCACTTGAGTCACAGTTCCACTTGCGGCATTTTGGGGGTAGTTTACTGGATATAAGAGTCTCATAGACATTCCTGCCTTGGCTAGCTTTGAACCTCAGCCTCCTGAGAAACTAGAATTACAGGCGTGAGCCACCAGTGCTTGGCTGATTTCACTGTGAACTCTGGGCTGGCCAACTGAGTTAAATCATAGCCTTTCATTTATTTACTGCTTCTGTGCCCTCCCAGTGGGGTAGGAGTGGAAACTGGCCATTTCTAACTCTCCCCCTTCAATATGATAGTAAGCATGGAAAGGGGGTAACTCTAAGCTAATAATCAGTGAGCGAAAGGTTTAAATACCCCATTACTGAGATGTCAGCCAACTCAACAAAATTTCAGATTTTGTGAGTGTGTGTGTGTGTGTGTGTGTGTGGGCACACACACACACACAAACACACTCTACACACTCTGTTGCACTTGCTAGTCGTGGGGCTTGACCTCAGGCCTGGGTACTGTCCCTGAGATTTTTTGCTCAAGCATAGTTCTGTATCACTTGTACCACAGTTCCACTTCTGGCTTTCGGATGGCTAATTGGAGAGAAGGGTCTCACCAACTTTCCTGCCAGAGCTGGCTTTGAATTGCCATCCTCAGATCCCAGATCTCCTAAAGCTAGGATTACAAGGGTGAGCAACTGGTGCCTGGCAGATTTCAGTTTCTAACTTGATTGAAACAATAATGGCATTTTCCATGGTTTTAAGACCTGTCACTTGTATTGTTTAATTCTGTTGAAGTCCTAGCTGGAATGATGTCTGGATTTGATTTTAAGAGGGGAGGAGGACGAACTTAAGACCTAAAAATAGCACTACTTTTTTTTTAATCTTCAATGCCATTTACAAAATTATGTTTCTTAAAACAATGATATATTTTAATTCATTTGTTGTGATGTTCTTAATTCCTTTGGGAAGTAATAGGCCCAGGACTACAAGTTTTAACTAAAAGAAAGGTAAATATCACAATTATGACTTGGATCAAATTATAGGACTTAGAAAGTTACAGAGAGGAAAAAGAATATTATTTTGTAAACACATATACATTTCATACAAACACCAAAGTTAAGGAACATTGTCTGACTACAAGAGTTTCAAACTGCTTCCATAAAGAGGTGAGCTGAAGTTTTAAAGAATATGTTCTGGTAAATTTCTACTTTCTCTGAACCTTTGCCAAAACTATTTCTGGAGTATGAAAGAAAACACATGAAAAAGATTTGGATTTTTCTAGGGGTATTATGCAATTGAAAGTTGTTGACCTACCTATTATCAATTCCCCAACATTTCTTTACCACAAGAACTACTAATTTTCATGGGAATAATGAAGCCTTTTAGGGTAGTTCCACCAATTTGAAAGCTCAACAATTACTACCAGCTTTGTATAGAAAAAGTGATTCCAATTTTAGTGGGCCTCACTCATTCTTAACATTTTCAACCTAACCTCTAGCAAAGATTAAGTCAGGTTGCCCAACTGAGTTCACTGGAGACTTTTATAGAGTATTTGTGACAAGTATTCCCTCCCAGTCTTGGCTCTTACTCTTTCCTCTTATTCTCCAGCCAACCTATGCCTTAGTCCTATCTCCAACTACTTCTTGCTGCTCCTAAACATATTCAGCATTTTTTGCTAAATATGGCCACTACCCCTCTCAACAATTCCTTCCTGCTATTGTCTTTTTTGTTCCTAAGGCCCAATCCAAATATTACTACCCATTGCAGCTCTCTCATATTTCCTTTTATGCAAAATGAATCCCCTGTTTTGGGGGGCTTCCAAATAAATCTGCACATATGAAAATCTTAAAGTTCCACAGAATCTGTAACTTTCAAGTTTAAGATACCTGAGAAAGTAAAATTGTAGGGAGAATATGTTGGTCAGAAATACATTTATAAAATCCATGGCAAATATTTTAAAATTACTAATGAAAGAAGCCAGAACATTAAAAAAAAAGAAAATATCCATTTCCCTTTAAACACATTCATAGTATTTG